ACAGAGGGTTTTCTTGTGTTTTCATGCACCGAGTGACCATGTACAATATTTGTACAATTTTCTGGTTTTGTTCACAGCAGAAAACAACAAGTAGTTGCACACTGGCTTTTCTGTTCCATTGAAATGGTGTGCCAAGTCTTCAAAACAGTCTCCCTCCCAGTTTAGTGCAACTCACTCTGCCCTGTACCTTGTGTATGCCATCGATTATTCACTAACACAAGCATTAGCTTCAGCTGAAGAAGCACGCTGTAATTAAATCAGATAAAAAGCAAACCCAGGCACTGTTTTTAAGCATGACTCAAGTATTATTTAAGCATTCCCACCTCAGTTAGATTTCCCTCCCCCCAGCACGCAGAGGTCTCTTGTAACCATCTTCATCATCTTCCTGATATTTTTCTCCATAATTTTCCACATGCAAAACTTTTTCATTTTTTTCAACTATGGTTGGCTGTTTTAAATTCTTCTAATCCTCTGAATATAAAAAAGGACTTTAAATGGCCTCTTTTAGCTGCCAGTTGCTCAAATACTTATTTTTTTAATAAAGCAGCATTAAATGTAGGTCTTAGTCTGCCAGCATTTTACCCAAGCAGAGTCCCATTCACTTCTCCTGAAGCTTTACCCAAACAAAATTGCAATCCTTTATTTTCACAAAATGAACTTTGCATTACTTCTGTCCACCAAAACATGCTCAGGTACAATTGCACAGTATGTTGATTAATTCCTTGCTGCAATGTAGTAGGTGGAGCTCAAATTATGGACCAGATTCAGATGCTGTAACTCTACTGGCACACTGCTCCTACCAGGAAAGTGAAGCAGATGCTTGCAATGCACCATATTAGAAGAGCAGGGAGTGCTCTCTCAGAACAACAGAACGGGCTTTTTAATATAATTAGAATCCAAACGAGATTTTTGGAAGCTAAGTTAATTTGGCTCATCTATTTCAACATCCCAGAGGCAGTTAACTCCTGTTCATTTCAGTCATCCAGAAAACTTTCCCAGAAGAGACCAGGAAACTGCACATACAAATGACCGCGCTTCAACCCCCAGCACCAAGACCTCACGCTCTAACACTGTCATGAGGAAGCGCCATTTAGAAACCGCAGCGAAGTTTCATACTTTGAATACTCGGAGCCAGAATCGCGGCGCAGGGTCCCGGCCGGGGGGGCTGTGCTGGCTCCCGGGGGGGCACTGCTGGCTCCCGGGGAGCAGCCCTGCAGAGCAGCCCGGCCCGGGGGCAGGCGCGCCGGCACACACCCAATA